AGGGGATAAGTATGGTGCAATACGCGAATGGTTTAGTTAGCATTTTTACATATATCTTTTTTTTGGGGGCCGCCTGTGGCCGACTTGTTTAGTTAGATATATATATATATATTTTCTTTGTGGCCGCCTGTGGCTGACTTGTTTTGTTAGATATAGTTATTTTCCTTGCGGCCGCCTGTGGCTGATCAGGAAGTGACTTCCGTACATAATGTCGGTGGGCCAGTGGAACTGGTCATGTCGCTGAGTTGATGCTGTGAAGTGCGGATCAATATAGGTCAAATCAGCCATGTCTATTGGGTTATATTTTCTGTATATTCTTGCAGTGAGTTATACTGTGTTGGTGTTTATTAAATCTTGTTATTGTTATTTGGTCAGTCATTAACTTCAGTAAGGCCCTCCGCTGCGAGCTTGGATTCCCTGCAATGACCTTAGGAAGTATTGTAAACACTTTGCGAGAGCCTGTGATGATGAACCGCTCCCGACTTCACGGTGGTTGTAGGTAGTAGGGTGAAGACGGGAGTAGTTCGGTTCAGCATAACAGGACCAAAAAATGCAGAGTTCGGTTCACACTAGTGGGAAAATAGTGTTACAACTCACCATGTGAAACAAAAGTGAATGAATATTAAACAACATATAAGCCACAAAAAAGCCCCGGTTAAGCCGCAAACCGGTTTATCCGCCCCTGGATAATTGAGAGTTGAGTGTAGTAACATTTTATTACAAATATATGTTTTGCAGTATCATTAACTAAATAAAAAACCATCTTCCAGTGCAGTGAAATAATGGCAGGAATTTAGATCATGAGGATATATACAATGAAATGTTGGCAGGAAATTACAATGGTGAAGGTTTTCACTGAAATAATGAATACAGTCACAACAGTGATAAAGAGAGTGACTACAGTAGTGATACTGAACCACCTGAAATGAGAACCAGAAATAAGCAAGTTGCAAGCACAGATCTACTTGCCACCTGCACTTTGCTGGCTTCTTGCTTTGCTTACTCTTTCACTCTGAATATGGAGGCAGTACAGTCTTCCAAAATATCAAGAGACTTCTACCAGACTATACATCACTATATCCCACAAGATAGTACCCTGCGTAGTTACAAGTGTGAGAACCTGAAGTCCAAAATAATTAATTTAGGCTATTAGTGTAATGTTTAGAGCGTGCACACACACACACACATATACTGGGCAAGGGAGAATCAAATTTAAGCCCTGTATTAAATGAAATGTCAAGAATACATAAGACACATGCTTCTTTCTCAGGACATTATGTCCACGCAACAATTTTTTTTAACATTTTCTTCTTCATAAAATCAGTGAGTTCTGTTACATCGTTTGGTAATTTGCAAATGCTTGAAATGTTCTACAGTGCAGTATTTTACATGTTTTTGGAAACTGACAGAGGAAATGAAACTGACACCAAGTTGCAGCTGCATTATTCTTACAGGCAGGTCACACCACACAGTTTGCATGTGACCAGTAATGAAACTTGCTGTGTAGCAGACACATGAAATTCAATGTAAACAATTATGAAGTACGAGGGTCGATCAATAAGTACCCGTGTTAGGAATAAAGACACAAGTTTTTCACAATTTTTTTTTATTTTTCAACGTAATCTCCTTTGAGGTCGATACACTTTTCCCAACGTTTCTGACATTTCTTTAACCCCTCCAAAAAAATACGATTTGTCAAATTCTTCAAAATATGCTTCTGTCTCGGTGAAAACCTCCTCGTTTGAGCTGAATTTTTTCCCCCCGAGCCATGTTTTCATGTTGGGGAACAGAAAAAAGTCGCAAGGAGCCAGGTCGGGCGAGTACGGTGGGTGCGGCAACAACTCGTAGTGCAGTTCATGCAATTTGGCCGCGACAGTTCCGGATGAATGTGCTGGTGCGTTATCGTGGTGAAACAGCACTTTTTTCTTAGGGGCCGTGTCTCCTTCAATTGCTTATCGAATCAGTCCAATAATTCACTGTATTACTGCCCCGTGATCATTCTTCCTTTCTGCTNTTCCGACAGTACCTCCACTGCTGCGCACAGACCATTGTAGTAGAAACCTGTTTGTTTGCAATTGTTACCTAGAAATGGCTCTACACACTACACTGCTCCCTTCTTATGGCTNTCCCTTTGAATCCCAAAAAATCGTGGCCATGACCTTTCCGGCCGATTGGACCGTCTTTGCCTTCTTTGGAGCAGATTCACCCAGAAGAATCCATTGTTTTGACTGTTGCTTGGTCTCTGGCGTATAATAATGTATCCAGGTTTCATCAACGGTGATGACTCGACGCAAAAATTCCTGTGAATTTCGCTTAGAGGTCCAAACACTGCTTTGCCATTGACAGTCGTATCCGCTTGTTGTCCAACGTGAGCAATTGCGGCACCCATCGGGCCGACACCTTTCTCGTACTTAAGTTATCATGTAAAATATTGATTGCCATTCCGTACAACACACCTACGGCCTCTGCTACTTCACACACTTTAGTTCGGTGATCAACGAGAATCATGTTGTGGACCTTTTCAACGATTTCCTCGGTAACGACGTCTGCCAGGCGGCCTGGCCGCTCCTCATCGAAAACAGATGTACGACCATGTTTAAATTCGTTGAACCAATATCTCACGGTTGTCATAGATGGTGAAGGGTCCCCATAGACAGCATCCAACTTCGCTTTTATTTCTTTGCATGTTTTTCCATCCAAAAATAAAAAGCGAATTATGGATCGATACTGCACTTTTTCCATCGTATCGAGAAAGACGAAACACGTCTGATGCAACTGGCTGCCAAATAAAAACTAACCTATGAATCAGTTTGAAATTTAGTATGGTGTTGTTTGACAGATGCCAGTACACGACGGTAATGCCAATTTCCCTCAGCAACGCCACCTGTCTTCAAACACGGGTACTTATTGATCGACCCTCGTAACTACAGATTGGGCATTGCTCTCATCCTATGTAATAATCAGTGTTTTCAAAACCACATTTTTTAAATTTACTGGATCCAGATTCCAAGATGCAATACAAATTTATGGGACTAGTTAGCAATTAGTAAATACTGTCACGCGTGTGAGTGACTCTTGACAGGGTTTTGGATTTGATATTGGATTTACTGACCACTTCAGCACTTGTAATCGCACTTAATTGTAGTGCCATCACTGATTTCCACTTTATAAATCACATGCTAAGTATTTTCTAGCCCAAAGTGTCTTCACTAGTAGTTACCTGGTAATAGTTTGTAACAGTGGCTTCTTCCAGGCTCAAGTCCCCTCTCGATGGCAGCTTCCTTTAAAACTATCTAATTCTTGTTCCACTTGTCCTCCCTACAACCCCTCAGCATGGATCACTACAGAAAACACCATTTCCGACAGTACCTCCACTGCTGCGCACAGACCATTGTAGTAGAAATCTCTGGCTCTCAAGCTGTGTGCAGTCTTCTTTTGTTTGGGTGGTGGCCAGCTCCCGCACAACGTTCTGACATTTTTTTCTTTTTCAAATCCTGACAGAAGACCCAACTGCTTTCTTCATGACCTCCAGCAGTATGGTCTGCTTGAAAGTCTTGTTGAGCGTTCTCCTGCTTCCCAGATACAATTGCTCTTTTAGGCCTCAGTTCCTTATGCAATTGTTGCATTCCGGTTGTGCCCCACATTTCTTACCCAGTGTACATCCTGTTCAAGGTTTCCCTTGCAACACTGTCTCTGGTCCACATTTTCTGCCGTCTCTGTTTGATCACCAGTCCTGTATGACCACATCCCTTATGCCGTGGCACTCCTGCATGGTAGGTCATCCCTCTGCGGGTGGCAGCCAACCTCTTCCGGAACCCAACACTGTCCTGGGTCCATTTCTGCAGTTGTCGGCGGTGCCCTATGGCTAGATGCCAGTCCCCATACCACTTCTTCAGTTCTCTGACAGTTTTCACTGTGGCCTCTTCTTTAGGGACTGCTTGATTCTCTGCTATGAACTTAATTTCTTTTGGAATTGCCTCCATCTTCTTCAGACAGGTCTCTGCTTTCCTTACTAGGACTTCATCTTTTGTAAGATGACACTTGCTGTAGCTTTTATTTCCACTTGGCCACATTTTATTTCAGCTCAGAACTCAGACAGAAGCAACTGTAACATCTTCACTCCAGTTACTTTATTTTTTGAAAAAGAAAGCCCCTGGTATCCACTGAATATGTAACCTTGTGAGCTGCTATAGCTGTTCTAGATGCCTATGCCCCTATCTTGCCCCTATCCTTATGGTGCTGAGGTTTAGAATGCATGGAACTCTCACATTGCAACTCCTAATACCTTTATGGCATTGTGTTTAGGCACAGAAGCAACATTACCTTACAACAAGCTAGGGCTCACCTAATTACCAGCTCTCATGAAAGAAATGGACAGGGTAACTGCAGTATTGCATACACAATATCTACAAATGAGAAAAGTAAATTAAAGTGTCAGTGAATGTGAATATGTCATTCATTCTTTTCATCAGTGTTACTTCTTGTGTCACATGTATGTATGTATGTATGTATAATATGAAATTCATATTTTAATATGTGCAAATATTCTATAAATATAATATGCGGCCCAGATTAGGAGGCATTCCTGTTATGTCCTCAGATCATAGCTCTTTTCCCATACATATATGTACAACAAATGAGTGCATATTAAACATCTGTTAAATTCAGCTTGAAAATTTAATTCAAGAATCTGTATGAAATGGTTGACACATTTGCCTGCATTTGAATGTTAGCATTCATGAGGGTCAAAGGACAGAAAATGATTCTACTCGATGTCTAAAACATATCAGACAAATCAATTATGCCTAATTGATGGAACTGATACAATCACTCACACTCACACACTTCGGCACATACAATTCTCTTATAACCTCAAAAATTAAGTCTACAAAGCATATGGTTTCACTGTATTCATTCATAGCTCCAACATGGAAAGCATGCTTGCTTGGATAATGACTGATGCTCAAGAAGCAAGCACTAATTTTGACTTCAGTACTTACATAATAAAATGCTACAGGTTCCTTTGTAGGTTCCGTTTCAGTTGTCATTCCTGCCTTCTTGATCAGCTCTTTGCCCTTGACCTTTTGGATGGGTTTTGTGACACCTTTCTTTGTTTTTGCTAACACTGGGCTGGAGCCAGATGTTGGCACAGGTGACACGACTGAGCCAGCCCCAGGTGTAGGAGGTGGATTAGATATGGTAGGTGAAGCAACTAGTTCTGAAACATTTTCTTGTTTTGGTTGGGTTGTCTTACTTGCTGATTTCTGTTTGGGAGGACGTGTAATTAGGGCAGAAATCCGAGCCAACTCAGGAGATGGTTCCCTTTTCACCAGAACTTCTGAAGCAGGACATTCACTTCCTTCTCCTTGATTCTTCATTACTGGTTTGATGACACTGAAAGGGACATTTTGTTAAGAACATGATGTAGTAGATAAAAGAAATAAAATTCGACTTTCTACACAATTCAGAACATCAGTATGACAGAAGTGTCCAAAACTCAACTGATATAACCTACTTTGTAACTCTTCTAGACATGTATTATATGCCTTATCTGCTTAACAAATCAGAAAACTGATCAGCTGAGTTCTGCATTACTTTGCATTTATGGAATGCCTCAAATACTCACATCTTCCTTGGTTGTGCATCTGGAGTAGGAGGGCGAGGGGATGCTGGACCTAAACGGAATGTTATTTTAGGTACACCCGATTCGCCTTTTTCATCACGCTGTCCAAATACATCATCATGTACCTGGTTTAGTGAAACGTAAAAGATCACCAAACATAACTCAGAAAAAACAAAATAATGGCTGTACAGGTAAGTCAGAAAGTATCCACAATGTATTTATTGAAATTAACACATCAATACCTAACTCACAAGAATATCACTTTCAACAAAAATCACCTGCTTTTCAGTAAAATTGTCTGCTACTACACATGCTTATGTATGCTATTAGAATAAATGTTTTCAAATGGGCAGCAAGCCACATATGCACTGCCTCCAGCTCATGATTGCTGGCAAAACAGTTGCCTTTTAAAATATCTCTGAGGCATTGAAACAGATGAAAAGCTGACAGAGCAAGGTCAGGCCTCTGTGGTGGATGCTATAAGATCTCAAACTGTACGTGCAGGAGCGTTTCAACAGCATTGGCAGCAGCGTGAAGACAGACTTTGCAATGTAACAACACAGTACTCTCCGACAGCTGCCCTCAGTGTTTATTCCATATTGGCAGCTTCAGATTGTCACATAGCATCTCAATGTAATGTGCAGTTTATCATCACATCCCTTTCCTGATAATGTTTAAGGATTGGTATCTGGAAATCCCAAAACAACTCCAGCATAACTTTCCCCGCACTGCTGGCTGAGAGTTAAACTTCATTGTGACAGGAGACACTAAGTGTCCATGCTCTAGTGCTTGTTCCCCAGGCATGGAGGATCCATGTTTCATCACAGTGAAAATGTGACCTCACTGAAGTGATGTCCATGGTGGATGATTTCATAAGTGGAAGCATGACTGATCTGATCTGTAACTAGTTCGTCAAGTAGTCGATGGTTACCCTCCTGTTGCCAAGAATTAACATGCAGACTTGTTTAATGTTCCCTTCTGTATTTGTTCTTTGTCAATGACAACTGTTCTGCCATTTTTGAATATGTCAATCCATTTGTGCATTCTCTACTGTGACAAAAACTGTCACTGTACTGTACTGTACTGATAGTCTCTGAAGAATTTCTGCCCCTCTTACACCTTCAGCCCTCAAAAATCAACTCACTGGGTACTGCTCTTCTTTTGTACATGTGATAGGCAGAGTGACCGTGCTGACACCGCTAGTGGTGGGAGACAATGGAATCGTGAAGAAGGTCAAATAAGTCACGACAACAGGGAGGTTCTGCGCTTCTGCTTGTGCATTCAGCAGTGGGCCAATCGCTAAAAGAAGATATAAATATTTTGTGTATACTTTCGGACTTACGCTAAATGATCAACAACTCTAATACCAGGTCATGCCAATACATTGTCAGTTAATGAAAACAACTGAATCATGAAAGAATATATACACCTCATAAAATAAACTGTTCTCAATTCAAATGATAGAGATATAATATGAAGTGTTCTATCTTCTTGAATATAACACTATGTACTCCATTAAAAATCATAATATGAAGTGTTCTATCTTCTTGAATATAACACTATGTACTCCATTAAAAATCATCTGATGTTTCAGAGTAAAGCAAAGCTTTGCTTGCTGCTGCTTCATACTGGTTTCTTACTTGATTTAGTTTTCAACCTAAGATGGAGGTAACACGTTCCTCTGAAACACCGCTTGACTTTCAACTGACTGCATGGCGCTACATCCCAGAAAAGATAACTCTTCATAACCACAGCTGGGAGACCCTCAAATCTTACAAGATGCAATATGTCAAACTGAAGTATCAAACTTGTACTGTCTATTAACCATTTACATTATTCTGATTCCATTCAACCTCAAAACCAGCATCTAGGGTTTCACAATACATTCCATAAGTTACACACACATAACATGTGGTCCTACATTACCCTACATGCCGAATACTTGTTCATTCAATTTCATTCATTCATCAGTCAATTAAATACTTATTGAAAACAGTTTCTTATTTCTATATCATGTACTCTTTACATTCAGTCCCCACTCCCACAATTTAAGAAACTGGCACTAAAGATATCTGTTATATGTATATACAGTGTACTTATAACACAGAGAACACACAAGAGCATTTTTCATGAACTGCTCTACATACCTTAGCTGAAGCTGATGTCGGCACTGCTGATGCTGCTGCTGCAGCAGCTACCTCCTTCTCTTTCTTTTTTTCCTTTTTCTCCTTCTTCTCTTTCAATTTGTCTTTGTGTTTTTCTTTATTCTCGATTTTAACTTTCTTTTTTTCACCTTTTTCTTTTCCTTTTCCCCTCTCTTTCTTATCTTTTTTCTTCTTTGTCTTATCCTTTTCCTTCTTTTTGTGTTCTTTTACTTTCTAGAGGGTTAATAAGAAACACACTAGTTGATGTTCTTTCTTGACAACGGTACATATCATTTTTTGTAAAACACAGTATACTATAATCATATTTCTAAAACTGAAGGTACAATAAGATATATCCTAGGATATCAACCAGCTTAGCAAATTTGGATCTCTGGTTACATGAAAGTGCATGAGACGGGCTGTAGCTTTTACTCTCAAGACTCGTATTAACAAAAGAAATTTATCGCCAAATCAGTATTACATGTGACAAGAAATAATATCACTTGAAGAGCTTCTGTGTTACATAAGCCTTCACTAACATTCAGAATATACACAGTGAAGCATAATTTATTACAAAGTTATCCAAAAACAAAACCTGATGCATACACAATACATATGTAGCCATTAACCCGTTGGCGTGGTTTGACGTGTATGTTTCGTCAGGTATTTAAATCGTCTGGGGGGTTCGACGTGTATGTTTCGTCCAGCTGCACACCTATGTTATAACGCCCATAATAATTGATGGTTTTGCTGTAGATTGTTAGATTTTTCGCTGGCCTGTTGTCAGAAGAACGGTTTATAATGAGAAACGAGTTTAAGAGCGCCAAGTCATCGTTACATATGCCTGTCTTGCAGCAAAGTTCCTGTGGCTCTTGCGAGCGAGCAGTTTATTCGTTCTACGTTTATGAATGCCGTGTTTTCTTTGCTATGAAATTATAAACAGCAGAGACGTGATATCTGCTGTGTTTATAATATCATATTGCCCTGAGCTGGCCACACTAACACACTCAATTGGAATTCTTAGAACAGGGATGTCCAGAAATTTATTCTCTCATGATCCATTGATTTCGCACAGTATATAGCACCCAGTTCTTAGAAAAACGTCACGAATTAAGGCAGAACACTGTGGTCACCCCCTGAGACGATACGGATGTGTGTGGGGGAGGGAAAAGAACTCATTCCTTCATGTATTATCGCTCCAGCTGACGCCATTTTATCGTACTGACCTTGGTGGTCGTTTCGAGGGATGACCATAAATATTTTTTTGAGCCAGCTAGGCTCTGCTTTCGTGCACTACATACCAGCCAGTACTTAGAATAACTTCATGAATTCTGTGGTCACCCCTACGACATCTACAGCCGCCAAAATGGATGGAATATCAAAGGCATAGCAACAACCCCTTGTTATGATAACTCGTAACGTTGAATTTACTGCAGCTGACCTGACTAGCTTTACTGCTCACGGAAGGACATTTCCTTGAACTATACCCCTCACGGGGAAGAGGGCTAGGCCGCACAGAAGCTGTGTGGTTAAAAAAAAAAGAGCAAAAGAAAAGATACGCAGTATTGGTTTGGTGAATGTGAGCCAGCGCTGTGTTTAGACTAATGCTTCAAGGCGTCACCTGCTTGCATTGCCGAGATACCGGGTGCTCATATTATAAGGCAAGGTTATAAAACCATCTTTTAAGATCATTTTAGTGAAAGTTTCATCCTTCAAGGCGTACCATTCACTGCTCAAATACTAAACAACCTGCTTCCATGGCCGAGATACAGGGCGCCCATATTATAAGGTAAGGTTATAAAACCACCATTTAAGATCATTTTAGTGAAAGTTTCATGTTCCTATCTCATATAATTTAAGAACAATGATGAATAAATCATTTTCGAGCAAAATTTAAATGGCCGGCTGAATATATTACCACCGGAGAGACGGCCGCGGAATTTAAATCACCGCGCAAGAGGGTTAATGTACATAATTTTGTTATTTTATAAGCTATCATGTTACTTCGCATATTAAATGAATATTACATTCTAAGATCCATTAGCTAATTACTTCTATTTGGTGTAAGGGAAAACAGTCTGATCAGTGGAAGGAGTCTACTATTGTACCAGTTCACAAGAAGGGTCATAAAACAGACCGTAGTTTGTCAGATACTGGAGAAAAAATGGGAGTACATTGAGAGAGACAAATCCACCTTCTCTTCAGAGAGGATGTTACATAAGGACGGTGTCCACAACTTTTCAGCTGAAAAAAAAAAAACTCTGGTCAGGATCCTCAAGGGGCTTGGTGCCATGATGAACCAATTAGCAGTAAACAACCAGTCTTTATGTAATTTTAACTTTCTTTTGGAAGCGGTGTTTTCTGTTAGGTCCATCCCAAGGTTTTATCAAGAGGGCCAATGGGACAAACCAGTTAGTCCTGAACAGCAGAGTTAGTCATTAAATAGGTGCCAGACAGCAAGGACTAGATACAAGGAAAATGGAAGCTAAGAAAGCTACAGCATTGAAAGCCATTACAATACAACCAATGAAAACAAAGCAGACCCAGAATACTTGGTGCACGCTGTAGTGAACTGCAGAGCATGTGAATTAGCCTCAGCAGTATAGTTACTTGTAATTACAAATTTTAAGAGTCCAGTAAATACAATTACCAATCTAAACCCTGTCTATAGTCACTCATAATAATTTACTTTTCACTGAAATGAAGACAGTGAAACCAGAGAATTAACAATAATTCAGGGTTATGCAACTACTCTTGGAAATGCAGCTATCATATAATTTAACAGACTGCGGACCGGACGGGCCGTATGGCCCTCTACGTTTCCAAGCATTGCGGACCGGGAGGGCCATATGGCTCTCTACGGTCACGTTATGTTGCAAAACGCTATATATCGCTGTGTGGCTTCGTTGAATCGTAACTACTGCGTAGATGACCTCGGGAATGATTGCTGCCTTATCTAGTAACTCGACCAGAGTCATTTCCTGTCACAACCTAAACAAAATTGGCTTTGTTCTAATCCAAGCTTGCACGTATGAACGACGCAGCTACCAGTTCAACAAGGCTCAGAGACGAAAGCAGTTGCGATCTCTCGGAGGACAGGAAATATTAGATATGTTCTCCGATGAGCTATCAGATTTGCCAACTGCTTCGTCTTCTGATAGCGAGGCCATTATCAGTGACAATGACAGTGACGGGGGCCACAGGGCTGCCCAAAATGTGTCAAGTGAAAGTGAGAGCTCCATTGAAAGTGCGAGTGTCGGGACAGCTACATGGGATAAGGTGGACAAAACCCCCACTTTGGGAAAGTTTACTGGTGATCCGGGGGTGAAGCAGATGCCATCGGACCCAACGGACGTGTCTGAAGTTGCGTCACTGTTTTTTGGAGATAGTTTCTTTGACGGAAGGGGGACATTCTTCTTCAGTCCTGGAGGGATACTCGCGTTTTGAATATGGTTTCCACTATTCACAATTNTAAAAGCTTGGGCTACTGACATCACGGTGGCGGCAGTACCTGCGTCAGACACAGACGTAGTGCAGCCGGGGCCATCTGTTCGCACCCGCCAGAGGCCTCAAGTAGACCCCCCTGGCCGACTCTCAGGTGATATGCGGAAACATATTCTCATGAAAATTGTGAAGAGTGAATATTGCAAGAAGAAACACCCTTCTAGGCAGTGCCGTGTGTGCGCAGAGCACAAGAAGAAGAGTAGAACTGCATACATGTGCAACTTCTGCGTAATGCCTCTTCACAAAGGGGAATGTTTCCAGAGATATCACATGCGCAAGCACTTCTAGGAGCTCTGGTAAGTGTTCTCCAAAAATTTCAGTTCATAAAATTAATTAGGAGATTTTATATTAATTTTTAAAGTGAACAGTGCACAAGTTAGGGTAGTAGGTTTAAAAACGCCGATCCCCAGGATGATTTAAATGTTTAAACCACCGTTCCGCAATGTGTTAAGGATTGCTTATTTTGTTCCATATTCTTACAACATGTCATAAAGTACTTAACCATTTTTGCTTTTATATACTAGGTCCATAAAAGTGACTTCTATTTTCACAAGTATTCTGTAAGGTCTGTTTGATTTCATGAGAGACCTCCCAAAAATGTTCAAATATTCTACATGGCTGTAATATCACTGTTTTCATACCTTCACTAACATATGTGGTATAGCAAAGAGTTGACACATCAAAGCATCATTGGACGTTATATAAAATAATGGTGTCTAATGCAATACAACATATTCACAACACAGATTATAAACATCACTATAATACAGAACACTGACCTATTTACCATTTAAAAAGCCTGAACAATTAACTAACTCCAAGGAGCAATCCTTCTGAAAAGCTAGTAGTGGCTAAGCTATCAAGGAATTTCCTGTATTTTATGGAACCAGAAAGTTCATTACAGTGTTCATAAGAGCCTGTCACTGGTCCTTATTCACAATACACACAAATCAATTTCTTACAAAAAGGCACACATACTGAACTATTAGTAACCTCACACCTGTAAAACTTTGCAGTGGCAATCATGCAACGTGCTTATCATTCCACAAATTACAGTCTCTTCTATGTTCTGTTGTACATAATGATCAAATGTTCCATGACATGGAAACACATTCAAAACATTTCTTTTTCTAGGGATCATTATCCAAATGGGCCATGATATTAGGGAAAGAATAGAGACTACTGCGTGACCGCTGAGCAATTTCTCATGCCTTTGTACAGTAACATATTGAAATGGCCGCACCATAGCTCAAGTGGTTAGTCGCTGGCTTGCCACCGTGGCGGCCCGGGTTCAATCCTAGGTCTGGTCATGTGGGATTTGTGGTGGCGCTGGGGTGGATTTTCTCAGAGTACTTCGGTTTCCCCTGCCAATCTTCATTCCACCAAATTCACCATCATCATAATCACCCGGGGCAGGCTACAATAGGCCAATCGGTGGCCACAGTGCCAAGTGGACCCAGGTGGACTCCACCCCCGACTAAGCGAATTAACATACTGAAACACGACTGATTTCTTCACCTTCTTCACTTCCTTCACTTTACAGACAACAATGCAGGAAATGACAGACAAGCCAACAATTATGACTTGATTATTGAAAATTTTGACCATTTTTGACACTCTAAATGACAGATATAAAAAATATTATAATCCTGCAGAGCATTTGGCTGTTCACAAAATAACTGTAAAATTCAAATGGAGGGTTATTTTCAGACAGTACATCCCTAAGAAACACAAAAAAAAAACAAAATCTTCAAGCTCTGTGATGCAGCAGGCTATACATACAACATTAAGGTTTACTTAGGGCAAGCCACGACACATGACCACCAACATGTGACAGTGACGCATGCAACCGTCAGGGACCTCTGCAGAAGGATCGAGGGGGTTGAACATAAATTGTATATGGACAACTTCTTTTCATTGTCAGACTTGTCTGATGAACTGATGACGAAGAAAATAGGTTGCTGCGGGACAGTCAGACCAAGTCGGAAGGGACTATTGCAAGACTTAAGAAACAGGAGACTTGGAATGAAGAAAGGAGATGTATAGGTTAGGGTGAGGGGTGACATGACAATATCAATTTGGAAAGACAAATGAGATAAACATATCTTAACATTCACGCTCCTCAAGCAGATGACAATTTCTGTGATGAACACAGAAATGCCAGAAAGCCAGGAATTGTTGCAAGATTACAACATGCACATGGAACATGTTGACAAAGCAGACAGGACGACAAATAGTTATTCCATCAGTCGTTGGAACTGGAAATGGATGAAGAAACTGCCCTTCGATTTACTGGACCTGACAATCCTGAACAGTTTCATCGTGCTGTCATCCTGTAGTGCAAAACTGTCACATAGAGACTTTTGTCTAGCCCTTGTGCGCAACATGCTGGAACATGTTGCAATGTGCCACCCTTGCCCCCATCAGCCCCGAGGTCAACCTCCTGCTCTGTCATCTACAATATTTCAATTAGAGGAGGCCAGTGACATCACTGGCCAACTTATTCAGACAAGAAAATGAACGGCCATGTTTGTTCTGCACATGCGAAGAGGAGAAGCAACCATACGAAGTGTGAGAAATGTGACATGGGTCTGCACATTCTCGGGTGCTTCAATAAGTACCACTCAAAGAGGAGATTTCGTTAGATGAAGCAGGGGGGCTGAAGCCTGTATATACATCAAGCAGATAACAACAATAAAAGGTATGTACATTGAATTTTATTACTCGTATATATATTTCACACATTTATTATACATACGTAATCTGCAGAATCTGCAATAAATATATGTTTGATAAGTACTGGCTCATGGATGAGTCTGGGCATAACTCATATACTCTTTCTTGTTATTGCTGTTCACTTAGGAATAATTTAAATTCTTGTATTAGGGTTTTACTCATGTCTATTTGGTAGTTACTATATTTAAAAAGAAATATATAGGATTGTGCATGTGCACGTGCTTTCACTACTGGTATCTAAATGCCTGACTGCACAAATTGGGGTACTTTAGCTATGACACAATATTCATCACCATTACAATCTGTGCACTTCAGATATTAAAGGTTAATGATCCAAAGTCAATAATCTCAGTATTAAATATTGTGGCATTCAGATCCAATGCTAGAAAAGACCTCAAAGCAAATGAGTACAGCCACTGCTCTGCAACAGGCAAATATACAAACAGCTGTTTCTGAGCAATGGCTTGGTAAACACATTCCTGCAGAAACAATAACCAGGCAATCATTAGGCAACTGCATATAACAACAGAGGGACTGTTGCAGGTAGTGTTTTCTGTTGGGTCCACCCCAAGGCCATATAGTGTGGACCCGAGGCTGGCTGAGGAGTTTGTTAATGGTTGGAGTTGAATCAAGCTCTGAGAGGGAGGATGAGTTGACAAAGAGTTCAGTTATGGGATATTCGCCAGATAGTAACAATGTGAGGAGAGAAGCTGGAGAATTTTCATTGCTAAGAACTATTACCAGGAAACGGCCAGTAAAGCAAACTGAGGAGATTTGAAATGCAGTGATTTTTAATATGTGGAAATCAGTGATAGTGTTATAGTTATTTGTAGTTACAACCTGCAAGTGGTCACTAAATCTATTCGCCAATCCAAACTCTTAAATCATGACAATATGCTCCAGTTTAAATTTTCATTAGTTTAGTGTTCAACTCCACTATTCTCAGATAAACCTAAGTCCTGTCTGAGCCTGTGTTCTTCCTTATAGAGTTTTGAAAAACAGAGGTTTTGCTAATTATATGATGGGTGGGTAAAGAAAAATATTTTATAACTTCAACATTTTCATTGAGCTCTTCACCATGGCACTGAATGTATTTATTTCATCCATGTAGTTTTTTCTTACTGCAGTTGAGTAGAGTCAATTCGAATTTCATTGCATTACTGTGTGATCTGTATTTATATAATACCTTTCTGCATTATTATAAAAGCTTGTGCCACCTTTTAGGAATGATTATAACTACTCTCATATTTCCCCCATAGTGTAATACAAAAATAGCCATCTATATTATCACCTGCTTCCATCAGCCTGTTCCTTCCACCATGGAATCCATAAATAAATAAATAAATAAACTGAAGGTATTTTAGAATCCTTAACAGATTCAGATGTCACATTTTATGCCAGTGAGTGACAGTAATTCCTCCAGAAATGAACATCAAACTATCACAGAAAATAACATAACTGGATGAGCTATCGATGTAATGAGTGAACTATATTTAACTGAAAAGATTAATTAAACGTTCACACATTAACATTTCATTACATAAATTAGAAAATCTAAACCACAAGCATTTGTTTTACAAATTTATACATCTGCAACAGTGATGGTATCTCTTTTAGCAGACTGAAGAAAATGCTTCCACAGTTATAGGATCCTGTTTAATATACCATGTATGATTAAGAAATGTAGCATATTCCATAAAACTCACCTTTTCACCAGACTTTTCTTTCAGTGTTGGAACTGGTGGCTGTGGTTTTTCTGACTTCTCTGTCTTCAGTGCTAATGGTGAAGCTGAAATGACAACTGATGCAGGTTTCTCCACAACTGGCTTATCCTTAGGTTCTGATATGTCCTCTGTCCGGGGTTGCATAAATAGAGGTGGGGGCATAGGTAGGTTTGGCATTGCAGGGTGTGGCAAGTTCTTTCCCAGAGTCAATGGAAATCTTGGAAAGAGAGGATGCCCAATTGGAGGAGGAATGAGACCGGGAGCTGGTGGGAAATGAGGGAAAAATGGGAATACAGGGGCAGGAAGAGGTTGCTCACGAGCTTCTAATGCCTCAGGTGTCTTTGGCCTGTCTGGAGTCTCTGGTTCAGAATGTCCCATTTTAATTTTCTTTGGACTGATGGAGCCTTTTGGTAACTTCCCTTTTGAGTCCTTCTTAGACTTGGATTTATCTTTCTTCCTCTTTTTCTCCTTTTGATCCTGAACTTTTCGAGAAGGTGTAGGTAATTCTGGTGTTCTGGGAGTTGAAGGTGTTCCAGGAGGGGACAGATCATCATCAAACATATACACATCATGGTCAGAGCCTGGACCTGAGGTATGGCCTGATACCACATCATTGATGGTCTCATCAACTTTAGATGAAAATGATTCTGCAACCTGAGACATGGGAGATTTTCTCTCCTTAGCAGGTTTGCATTCATTAGATATTTCCATACTTTGCTGAATCACAGATTCAATACAGTCATCTATCTGAGCCATGCGTGCTTCCCTCTGACGACTGTTCACCTCTGATTCATCTATCACAAGTCCTGGTGAACTTTCACGAGAATCTCTGGGAGGTGGCTCTGAATGTTCCATTTTATCCACTTTGTCTAATTTTTCAGGTTTCTCCTCTTTCACTTTTGAAATCTTTTTGAAGATATTAAGTTTCTGTTTGTCTGGCTCTGAAGACAATTTCCCTTCTACAACTACTGCAGCTTTGCATTTTCCAGAACTCACTATCTTTTGCTGAAGAACTGCAATTGGTAGAGGAAAACTCTTTTCCATTTTTGGAGTCTTGGCCTGAACTGCAGGTTTACCAATCTTAGGAGTATTTGGATTAGGCGACTTGTTCGCTGTTATCTTGGGTGAACTCAGCTTTGGAGGTTTAACACCTGTACTTGGACCAGCTGCAGTGCCTGCATGAGCCATCATTTTCAGCGCTCCTGATTTCAGGGCTTTTAATTTGGATAACTCCTTCATACTTACCAACTTTTTAACCTTTGACTCGTCTGTGGGCATGTGTTTTTCTACCTTAGTTAAGTCCTTTAACTTGTGTTCCTTTTTCTTATTTTCTTTATCCCCTATCTTTTTTATACCATCTACAGTTTTCTTGAATGGCAACTTCTTTGTCTTCTTATCACCCTTCACTTCAGGAGGGACCATCGGGTATGAGGTTGGCTGAGGTGAATTTGAACGTGAGTCAGATGGCTGTAAAGGAGTTCGTGACTCTGGAAGTTTTCCTTCTCTTGCTGGAGACAAGAATCCAGATGTGGTCATCATGACGCTGCTGATCTCACGTAGAGGCCGTCCTTCCTCCTCTAACATTAACCTGCACCAAACAGGCAAAGTATAGCAATACATTCAAACTTATAAGTGATTTTAATTTTATATGAGGGATATTTTTGGGGACATGCATTAGCATACTTGGTTGAGGCACTATGCTACAAGCCGGAAGGTCATGGGTTTGAATCCTGAGGTTACTGGATTTTTCAATTGGCCTAACCCTTCCAATCACGCTATGGCCCTGGGGTCGACTCAGCCTGTAACAGAAATGAGTACCAGGAATCTCCCTGGGGGTTAAGGGAGGCCAGGGCATAATGCGCACAACCTCACCACTGTGAACCGATTGCCTAGAAAATGTGGAAGCCTCGATGTCTCACAATCCTATGGGCCTTCATGGCCTGTTACAGGGATAGCTTTACTTTTTTACTTTTACTTAACAGTCCATGACGACATACTATGAATAAACGGGTGAGACATTCTCTCTGTAAATAATGTAACGTATCTTGGTGTCACCTTTGACAGGATGACATGGAGACACCGTATCAAAAGGACTGCATCCAAGGCCTTGCACACGTACATAAGGACCCATTTTCTATTCAAAAGTGGCAGTTTAAATAAAATATTAAACTTATGATATACACAGTTCTTGATTAGGTCAGTTATGACTTATGCCTGTCCCTCCTCGGAGTATGCGGCAGATGCTCACCTCTTGGAACTGCAGCACCTGCAGAACAGAATACTCCACACTTCTGGAAATATCTACAGGTGCACACCAGTCCTTAAATTGTGTGTGACTTTTAAAATTCCTTACATGTATGATCGCATAAATCATGCAGGAACCAAGCAGAAGTATTCTTAAACCATGAAAATCCAAATGCATGTGGTACTGGACAAGGAGTAGCCAAGCACAGGAAGTAAAAGAGGCTTAAACTTGGTGGCAGTCAGGCCGATGACTGCTCAGCTAACTACAGTTTTGGAGCAATTTAATTAGATAAGGCATAACCTGATGCACAAGCCTGCATTGACAGAAACCTCTGTGTATCTTGTATAAATGTTACTTAGTAAAGTGCAGTGACAGAGGGTGCATGGAGTCCCCAGTGACAGCACAGATATCCTCATGCTGAAACTACAGGGCAACAAACATAATGCCTACATAAAGACTGGCCCCTCCCCCCTTACGTCAAAGAGGTCGCCCAATTTCGAAACATGTACTTGTCTAGGAGAGAACAAAAATCTTGGTCATTGATCTTGAGGAGACTGAGGCCAGGAATAACTGTGCTGGTGAAGGCCTGCAGCAATTTAACTGACTAACCAACTGAATTATAACAGTCAGAGCCAGTGAGTGGCCAGTGGAGAACGAGCTGTGAGATGGTGGCCAGCTGGCAACGACATATGGATGGAAGCAGAGGCCACTGTTCAGATCTATTACCAAGCAACAATGAGGGGGGCAGTAGGTTCCTCCAAAGTAATTACCTTCTTCTAATAGACTTCATAACATCCTATAATAGAGCACTCTTCATAGTCAATGCTGCAAGAATCTATAATTCAACATGTAGATTTCGCTTGGGTGAATAAGGTAAATTCTCATTTAGACTTAGGCTTGTCCAACCATGTAAAAATAACCACCACTTATATATATATATATATATATATAAATGTACGATGTCTGTAATCTTTTAAATTTATTTATTATAAAAAGTATATATTCCTACATGCAATGAATTCATTAATTAATTGTAACACATGTGGCATTATGACAACAGAAATAATTGTAAAACTCAAAGGAACAGGTACCTTGCTCTTTTAACAGCTGGGCTCTCTAAAGAGATAGGATCACCAGGCCTTTTGAAAACATTTCCCTTGGGGCTTGAAAGAGGAGATGTTGCTCCTGAAGATGAAGCTGTGTCTACAGAAAGTGGCACTTGTTTGTTACCATATTCCTCCTCTGAAAATAAACAAACACAGGAACAGTAGGGACATAACTTGTTACAGGTCTCACAACATCACTTCATTTGAATCAGAATGATATGGTTGTTTTCTTTTCATCTGCCACTGCTACCATGTAAAAATATATTTATATGGTCATTATTCGAAGCTAATCATTATCGCCTGGCTAAGGAACGCTACAGGTGAGATAGCTCACCTTCCATCTCCGGATGCATAGGTGGTAAGTGCTCATGAACATGTACTGGCCGTGTAACCACTTCTCTACTGCCTGGTTTCAAGAAGTTTAGGTGGGAGTCCCGGGGTATTGGATACTTAGGAATCTCATACACACATGGTACAGAATCAACATTCCTGATATATTCCTCCAAATCTGGTAAGTTTATGCCCATGTCCCGGAAGGCAAGACCTACATCATCAAGGTTAGGCACTGTATGTCCAACTGAAAACGAAAAATGTAAAATAAGAATAAAACGTCAACTCATAATTAAATAAATATCCTGCCAAGAAACAAACGGATATTATTCTGTATATACTGGCTTAAATAAATGCATGCACTTTTATAAACAGTACAAACTACTCATCAGTGAACAAGAACTTATACCTTAGTTCCAAATGCATACAAAAATATCAGAAGTATTAGAAAATTAATGCTCACACAGATTTTTGTTACATATTTTTATAATTCTCACAGCAAGGGGAGCTAAAGGATATGGAATGTCTGTTAAGAGCAAGGGACCATTTATTTATTTACATGTGTGTTGACATATGCAGGTCCTTTTCAATTCATAAACAAATAAATTTCCATGTACAAGTTAGATGAAAGGCAACACTCTCAGTTTCTAAGTAGCCACAGTTGTCATGATGTTGCTTCTTAGTCAGAAATCCCTCCACATCATACTTACTCGATAACCATTACAAAATAAAATCAGCCAGGCAAATGCCTCCTGCAAAGTGTCTCCTCCATGTACATTCAATTTATACTGAAGAGATGAACTGAATTTGCTGCTACAAGCAGTATGTATAGAACCATCAACAGAAAATGTTTAGGTCTCTGTTTTGAATAAGCCAATGTGAAAAAAAAAAAAAGTGGGTAAATATGGCAATGGCTGTGTCATTCACTGAATTACAACCTCCAACTTCATATTAATATACATACACTCTCAAGATCATAAGTTTGAATTACTGCCCCATATTTCTGCCATTAGGCTTGTGGAGATTAAAATTTGTGGTTACTGCCATCATAGTTGCTACTATTTTTATTCCTGTAGATGGACTTCAGCTGCTAATGCTGTTTGCAGGAACAATGATATCTTTGGAACCAAAAATGTTTCTCTTATCATACTGCACAGGGACACTTTATTTATTAATTACTAAGATATTAACTGTACTGAATATGAATGAATGCATTTTTTTCTCACTGCATAAAAGTTGGTGTGATTGCACTTCCTGAATTTTTAATATTGTCTAAATGACACAAGTTGCATTGTTTCATCTTTCTTCTGTGTGTGTTTGTGTTTCTTTCTCTGCTCACATTTACTTTATAACTAGCTTTTTGACACTTCAGCAAGCATGTAAGTAAATAAAGAAATTATCTGAATTGAATAATGCTGATGCTGCTGCTGGTATACACTGGAGTCATTTTATTATTACATGTAAAATTCAGGTTCTACATTTTATTATTACATGTAAAATTCAGGTTCTATAAAAAACAAGTTTATAGTATTGCTTTGCTGACTTCATTAAGCACATTAAATTGATTTTTATACACATAATTTTCACATCAAATAGACAAGTTGAAGTGAAAGAAAAGTGTGTGATTAGTTCTTCCCAGAATTTGTTAATACAATGAATATTTATTGAAACATACAGCCAAGTAATTTCTAGCTCTGGGCAGTGATTGGTTTTATAACATTATGTTTATATCTGTAATAAATGAGCACTGAGAGGCCAATGAGGAATGCATAACCATAAAGAATGACTCTGGGAAATATATATACATAGACATGATAATGAGAAATATAATGGTGAGAATCCTCCGCCCATGTTACTTCTTTACAGTAAGAAGTGAAATACTCAATCTACACTACGATAATCATAAGCAAGAAACTTTTTTTATATAACCTTGAGTAGCTCAAGTAAATTTTCTCATCTCCTTGCGTTAGTCTTTCCCTCGAGACTTCTACACAGTCACTGTAACATTTATCACAAATTAAATTTCTAATGAATGCAACGTTGAGACATATGTTAAATTGCTTACTGATTGACTTGTAGGTTATTTAACAGTCCTTTTCCAAACGCATAGGATACACAGGATCAAATCGTAGGAACTGGAAAGGATATGGAACTGGGACTCCCAAACACAGTGAAAGTCCTACTTATTAAATCTCTGTGGGAATGTCATTTCTTACTCTAAATGAAGATCATGATTGAATAGGGTTTATGCAAAATTACTTTAAAAAAACCAGTTCATCTTCTTATAAGACTTCCCATACAGGTGCTCATTGTTATACATAAGTTTGAAAAATTTTATTTCATTTTAATGTGATAAACTAATTTCACTCAACTTCAATTAATGCGAACTGCTTGCTGACAAGTCAGGAGAGGTGGGAAGTAGATTACTGTGGGGGTTTGGGGAGGAGGAATATGAGGAGAAAGGGAAAATAATCTTCAATTTATGCGATTTCACCCTCTGTGACCTTATTGAACACAACTACAGCATAAATAAAGGAATGCCTGTATTCAGTTATGATGAAATAATTTTTTACATAAACAATTAAAGACTGAAGCTAGGGTGGGTAAGTAAATAAAGACTGTTTCTGCATAAATAAATATATTTACTTAATCAGCAATATCAAACTAGTTAGTAATGATTTACAGCAGTCACAAAATACAAATAACAACATTGTTTCCACAAAGTCAAACTAAATCAAGGTCTAGGTTTTGGAACTTTGAACATTTCTTACACTAAACATGGGTTATTTGCCCACTTTAAATTTACTGCATATAAGAAAATAATATATTCCTTATACTGAGCCTTGGCTGGGAAGAGCTCAAATATTCACTAAATGTGGGAACACATAACTCTACTTGTATGATACTGGAAAGCTAACCACTTGACCATGATGGATGGATCCAATTGTTTATTGGCTGCCATAAACATAAGGCACAGGGCCTTGCATTTCAATGGTATACCAATGTAAGGAGTTTAAAAAGTGAAGGCATCTTTTGCTTTAGCCTATAAGTGCACTAACTGAACTGTCTCTTACACAGAAGTAACTCAATCAACATACTAGCTTCCACAGGCAATGGCAAAGATAGAGATCCAAATTACACATATAGTTTGACATGATTACATTGCCCATTGCATGATAATGACTCAATAAACATGTCTCTATGGTGACAGATGCACACAAATAATGGAGGAATGTTGGAAAAGGTGTTTCTATGGAATTCTACGGAATCTGTGCAGGAGTTATACAGGGAGAACTCGGGGAGTCAGTTGCATAGGAGACAAGACTTTATGTGCACTGTAGTTACAGTGATATTTGAAGTGTGTGGTTCAGTGAGAATTTTATAATTACCGTGTTAAAATCAGTTACCAGGAAACGTCTACTTAACACTTTGCAGACCGGACGCATGATATCACGCTTTTCGCTTTTAAACGTGGTGGACCGGTCGCATGATATCATGATTTTAGGACACATCAGGTTGTAACACACTATACCTTGCTCTGGTGCCACGCAACTGCAATGAATACTGCATAATAAATCTTCGGAATGTATGTTAGGTATTCAGTAACTTGACCTGGCTGGCTAGGGTCCCTACTTGAAAAGAAGTTAAACTTTGCCCCTTCCAGCTGTTTATGTACCAGGCAGGAAGGTAGTATGTTAGTATGTTATATGTTTCAAGGGCAAAATCGGTTGAAGGCAAAGTGATCTCTCTGACTTGAATTCCGATGAGCTATCTGACGTGCCTTGTGGAGTAGTGATTAGTGACTCAGACAGTGGAAGTGACAGGGTCAACAAAGAATTGTGGCCAAAGATAATAAAAGCGAAAGTTGCTTTGTGGCTTATAAATCGTGCCATTTTCAATTCATTTTTAGTTTACAAAAATCTAAACCCTGATTCGAAATTGGGATACAAAGCATTTCTGATGAATGTGGCAAAGGCTCGGACTACAGACCAGATGGTGGCGGCAGAACCAGAGTCAGACAGACTTAGTGCGACCTCGGCCATCAACTCCCACCCCACGCAGGCCTCATGTGGACACCCCTAGGTGACTCTCGGGTGATATGGGGAAACATACCCTCTTGAAAATTGTGAAGAGTGAACATTTCAAGGGGAAGCATCGTTCTAGGCTATGCCGTGTTTGCGCAGTTCACAAAAAAAGAACTATGACTGTCTGAATTTGCAAGTGTGTAATGCCACTTCACAAAGGGGAAAGTTTCCAGAAGTATCACACTCTCAAGCACTTCTAGGAGCATTGGTAAGTGTTCTACAAAAATTTTAGTTCATAAAATTAATTAGGAGATTTTATATTAATTTTTAAAGTGAACAGTGCACAAGTTACGGTAGTAGGTATAAAAATGCTTGTCCCCAGGGTGATTTAAATATTTAAATCGCCAGTCTGCAGTGTTAAGACACAAAAGACTTCTGTCTGACCTGTGGGCACAGTGATATTTGGAGTGTGTGGTTCAGTAAGACTGTTATAGTTGCTTGTGGCAATCCATAAATGGTCAATAGATATGATATCCAATCCAAAACCCCATCAAGAGAAATTCTAACACATGACAGTATTTAAAACACATCTGTGTGGGGGAAACATGTTAGAAATATTTCTGATTCACTAGTGCAACATATGCAAAACTATTTACAACAAAATATTTGTTCGGGTTATATTCAGTAAATTCCCACCAAGGACAATGATACGAGGGAAACAAAAATGTACATTTTGTAAACTGGTTTACTTCAGTGGACTACATATATATTAATTTTTTCAAAAGTCTGCTATGTGGATCGTATTGGATTCTTCAGCAGTGGTTACGATTGTAAATATGTGACAATTTGGTGTCATCAGTCACACAGTAATAAACTTGTGAAAACTGGAAGCAATTTATGCAGCCAGTGATGGAAAGCATGCCAGTCATCACGAAAAAATTCGAAGCCAAGCCGATGACTAAATTGGATTCATACAAAGCATAAATACCGGCTGCAATAAGTCCCTGTCTAGGAAAGGTGGAGGGAAGTCAGGAGTGCAAGGACCTAAATCCTAAGGAAATGGAGTCCAAATCAGAACACTGGAAGGTCCCCAAGGAAGATGCTGTAGTGAAACCAGTCAAAGGATGGAAGAAGCGGCATAGTGGCTGGAAGATAGCTGCAGGGCAATGCGAGAGCCAAAGGAAGTGACCCAAGGATATTGTGGATCCTGCAGAAAGTTGGCTGCTGCCTGCAGCAAGATATCCTGTCGTGCAGCAGTGGCACAGTGCAACAGAAACATCTTCAGGAAAATTCTAATCAAGGGAAAGTGTGGATTGCGGAAGGAATTGGCCACTGGAAGAGAGATGACCTGCCATGCAGAAGTGGCATGGTGCAAGGGAAACTTCATAGGAAATGTAAGATTTGAGGCTTTCACGGCGGTGACTATGAAGAAAGCAGTCTTCTGGGATTTGGCACTGTGTATATGTGGTGTTAACCGACGTTTCGGAGGAACGTATCGCCTCCATCTTCAGGGTAGAAGAAAAAATAAAGAAAAGCAGACTGCTTTTACCAGTTCTCACGGTCTCTTCGCTTGCAGATTTCTTATATTTTTTCTTCTACCCTGAAGATGGAGGCGATACGTTCCTCCGAAACGTCGGTTAACACCACATATACACGGTGCCAAATCCCAGAAGACTGCTTTCTTCATAGGAAATACTCGATCAGGGCCAATGTTGAACAAGAAACTCAAAAAGGACAATGGAGGAGAACAGACGCTGGAATGCAAAATGGGAATAGAGGACCCTACCACGAACAGCATCAGAGGGTGGTGCCCAAGACAGCCATCACACCTGGGAAGTGGAGGAACATGCAAGAAGAACTTAGACAACTTTGGATTATGGTGAGAATGTGAACTGATGGGAACCTTATAAGGGAACCACTCAGGTTAAGCTGGACTTAAAAAAGGAGCAGTGGTAGCAGTTGGAGAATAATCGCCACAAGAGAAGCCCAAGCACAGAAGATGTTGCAATCACAGTCCTCTAGGAGGAAAAAAAGGAACGAAGAGACACTGTTAGGTTATTCAGAACAAACAGCCTTAAGGTGGGAGTAACGAAACGTGGATGGCCAGAACATTTCTTGGCAACAATCTGTAAACAACATTACAACAATAAGACAAATGTTTATAGCCCATTGTTAGGCAACACTGAGCACACCAATGGACTGACAAGATATCACATAACATGTTTTCTGTGCGGTTTGTGTCATCAACAAAACAATTGTGTTTCCTATATGGTCCGTGACGTGGCTATATAATAAGAGCTGTGAGCCATATGTTCAGATTGAACTGGAACTAGTAGTGACAGTGAGTGTGTGTGACAGACTCCTGAATTCTGAATTTGTCGTATAAGAGGAAATTTCATCAGCTTGTGAAGATTTAAAGTGCAATTAGAAGACTTTATTTATGTGTAATAATTGGAGCGATTTGAAGCACTAGTTCCTGTGTTTTGTTACCAGGAGAGGACTAGTGTGTGTGTAACAGTGAATTATAGTGTAAATCAGCAACAGTGCCATAGTAAATGTGATTAAGAGACTGTAAACAAAGTGCCAATAAATCCAATCATCCAAACTAGGACCCATCATTTTCATTGTGCGTACCACTCCACACGTGACAACACTAACTTGAGAAGTGAGCCATAGTGGAACACAACATCAACCTCAGTGCAAGGAACAGCTCATAAAGAAAGCAACATAAATTGAGCTTAACCCAACATGAACATGGAGGGAAAGTTCTCCCTGAGCAGGTCGTGGAAGCCTCTTATTCACTCCATGAAGGAAAGGAAGAAGGTTCTATCCAAGGAAAAGATAGCCACTTTCTCCTAAAATGATATCACTCTGCCCAGGCCCTTGGAAAATGAGGCTAACCTCTCACTTCACACTGCCTGTATGCAGGAGAATTTGAAAGGTCCATCCTTCCTCAGTTCTCAATTAATTTCCTCTTCCATGAGGAAAAACACGTTCGGCCTGCAAAGGGCCATCCTCTCTCACAATTCTATTTCTATTCTGGGATAAAAATGATATTGGGTCCCTAAAACGGACCATCTTGCTTGCAATTCCATTGTCCCCTTATGATGCAGCACAATATTGTAGTCAATTCCTTTTCCTCTTGTGATAAAAAAACAGCACAGCACTGGAAAGTGCTATTTTCCTGTTCATTGGGTCAACCAACTCCAGTTGCCTCATCCCCTCCCACAGGTCAGAGGGACCACTCTCCTTGCAACCTGCTTAGTGATTGCAACAAATTCCTCACTTTACACACTTCAGCCCTGTTTTAACAAAATATCAGGACTACCTTGTGTCACCAGACAAATACAATCCGAAAAATCACCACGATGGCTACTTCAAAACTTACATAAGGCATACTATGGTTCGAGATACCTTTAAAATGTCCAATTTCATGTGTCACTTACTACACCTAAACCACTGTATCCTTCCTCATCATTTAACTTGTCAATTAAATTATATAGTAAAAGTACATACTGGGTAGAAAATTCTATACATCCCATCCCCATCATCACATTCAACTCATATTACACAAACATTATTAAGAAAACTATAACCTACATAATAAAATTGTCATACTGTTCATTTCTGATACCATCATAATCAATAATCAAACTATATATGTATGTACATACATAAATCTATCATAACTGACATACCTTTATTCTTTGCATCCTTTTGTTACAGAATCACATTAAACTGAGGCTGTCTACACACCAATTATTTGACAACAACATAAAACATGGAGTGTCAGTATTAGTGTATTGTGGTTATATTTATTTATTTCAAACCACCTGATGATGATGATTATTAATACTGAAACATATAGTGGTACAATATGACCACAGTCAATTAATCCTGACATTACCATCTCTTTTATTTTATTGTCTAATTCTTGTTGTGTAGATGGCTCCTACATACTGTGATAGATTGAGATGTTGTCTTGCAACTGACTTTACAAATTAAATATTTTAGTCACAACTACATGGTACAAATGAGTACACTGCATTACATGGCCACAATTCACAGCAACCTATCAGTAACATAATTAATCTAATACAATACGGAGCATCTACAAGTTGCACATGTCAACAAACAATGTAATCTGGACTTGAAAAATTATTACATGCAAATGCACTCTGTTACTAATAAAACTGGTAATTCAGAACATTTTCCATCATTATGCACATTTCTGGCATAACTGCATCGACATTTTATTTAGCTGGTACCAAAGAACACAGTCTGGGAGTTCCTTAAACTGCTCACCAATGTATGTACTCAAACCACATAAAATAAACAAAGAAAACGAATTACGCCTTCCACTAATAAAATCTTTTAAAACAATAAAATGCGAATAAAAATTAGCACTTTTTAAAATGTATTAAAAAGAAAACACTAATATTTACTGCTAGTGAGAGCTCAGTCTTAATTGAAATCGGGCAGCAATATAAACCAGAGCTTCATTTACTCACAATGCCAACAGAATACATAATTATATATAACTTTAATATAATATGTAAAAACGTATACTTTGCCACAAAACTCGACATAAAGCTTATAACACGAACTACAAACACATTCAACTAAGAAAAGTACATTTTTCTTTACCAATAAAGGTCAATGTTACTTACACTGCTCACTATATCGGTGCATATGCTTTCCTACTTCCGTTATATACCTTTGTACTATATCAATCATAATATCCAAAGGTGTACTGAGGATACTATGCCAACCAATTGTTTGGCAAATTTGGGCTACTACCATTTTCAACGCGTTTCTAGAGAAAGTTTCTGCCATCCTTACTTCTCACCAAATCTCTTCATTTTAGGTAGGAGTCATGTTCTGTATAACTTTTCTTTGATTAAAATATATGTACATTGTAGGAACCATTCAGACACACTTTAATATACATTATGCGAACATTCACAGCATACACTTATAAATAACGTCCTTGAATACAGCCACAAGCGAAGGACGACCTGAGCTGCTTAAAAACACCGACTACGCCGACGGCTTCCTACCGTTGTTCCATTTCCATACTTCCATACGCTCTGGTGGCCTGGTGGCTCTGGTGCGCTCTGGTGGCAGCACGCACAGTAGCACGGATCACTGGCAGGGTCGATATTGTTTCGATCCCATACCCAGGATCACCAAAGTAACGGGAAGAAATCCTAATTCTTCCACGGGCTCCATAAGTGTAAGTTTTTGCATCACACTTTCAAAGAACGTAGAGCACATACTAATCTCAGTTAGCGTAATAGCTTTTTAACAATTAATACACTTTACTGTGAATATTTATGTTAGTTACCGTATATACTGTTAGAAAGTAAAATTTAAAAGTAGGATGAGAAAGATGGCAGCCCTGTTCAAATGAATGATGAGAAACGTAACGAAATATTGCTATATAATGACCATGGATGATTGGTATTGATAATTAGCGCGCCAATAAGTGTATCTCTGACAGATCACTATTTAGATATTCAGTCCCACCTGATTTTCCTGTTCTTCTCTCCACACTTTCTTCAACAGCAGCCCCAACAGCTGTTTGACTTCATTTAATAATAGTTCTGATTCAGTGATAGAAAAATGACTTCTAGTACATGTTATAATTTCGCCACACACTAGCTCAAGTTCATAGATTTTTTGTTGAAGAGTCAGTATTTTTCTAACTCATTTTGCAGTTGCACTACAGTTATGCTTTCGTATACAAAAATAAAACTAACATTATTCTGGGCTTGCAAGAGGTGCATGTCACTGTCTTACTGTAACAATGTGAGGCTGGACAGTGAAGGTTGGTATGCGATCTCAGTTGCACCTCAGATCTGCACATGTTAACCCATAGATCATTAAAATATGACCCCTGTGTTGCTTTAAAAATGGATGTCCAAAATCTAAACACACAGAGTTTCACATCTAGTCTGCCATACTTCGATGCAGTACCAGCATGCAAACATGGTGTTTGGTTTATATATAGTGTATTGGAATAATGGAAGATTTTCTGCTTCAAATGCGACAGAATTTTTAGAAAAGTTTCCGTGTTTATGGATATTGACCACACTGACTTTAATGACAGACTACTAAGAAGGGAAGTCAAAGAGGCCCTTTTAAACATAACAAACTTTGGCAATGACAAAACCCTATGTAAAAGAATCAGCAACATCCTACAATGTTGAAATCAGGAAAATGAAGCCTTCTGTAAAATCCAGTATGGCTGCCAACAAAGTCTGTAAACTGAAATCTTTTGGTTTAAGGGTGTTATATCATCAGAATCAAACTTTGCTTTCAATCATATTTAAATGGTTTAAAGATATTTAACAAACTAGCATTTCTTCAAAACAATTTTGTCTCTTTTTATCAGTTACACACATACGACACTTCAAGAATAATGCGCATATTTAACATTACAATTTTGAATCAGAGTGTCTATAAAATCTTTGTCTTGCCATATTACTGCTTCCTCTATAATGAAATACTCAACTAACATGTCCTCTTCTATCTAGCTTCATTTCTGTAATGTCAGTTCTTTTTGAAGCCAAATTTCTCATGCCACCTCACGTACTGTCATTTCATCAAGATCAATGAATTATTTTACAAGATCAAGGGCTTCAACATCAAGTGTTATGTCTGCCTGAGTCAGTGTATGCTGGCTGTTGTCTCTAAGTGCCAAACTTGCCAAATGCCTCAGTACTGTTTCTACCCATGGTCTGGGGGGAAAATGTCTTGCATATTGTGGGGATCTGTTGACCAGTAGCTTTTCATACTGCCCTTTCCAGCGTGCCCCATCAAAATTTTCAGGCTTAAAAACTTTTTCACATCTGACATGGTAATTCTGAATCACTTCAGCATTTCATGTAATATATTCCATTAGTGAGCATTCTGGCTGGTAGAGATTAAACTGGTTAATAAAACTTGCATAAGTTCATCAATTATAGTACTGACCACTTCAGTAACATTATCATAGTTAACAATAATTACATTCAATACTCCAGTCCCAAAAAATGGTTCACTGTTTATTTTCATATCAGTTTTACATTACATATCTAATTCATCATCAGAATGAAAGCTACTTTTTGTTGAAGAACTTGCATCTCCATATGTATCACATGACACAAACATGACATGGTTGCAAAAGTTTCTATTAAAACACTGTGAACTTCATACCGATTACAATTAATGAATATCTGTTTGGAAGAACGCTGCTATATTCATACAGTTCTACAACGTATACACTGCCAACATAAATGTACTACACTGTGTTTCTTTCTGTGGTAGCCAATGGTACAACACATGATACATATTTTCATAAAAAAAAAAATGAAAAACATGTTTTGTGGTTTACTTTCATAAAGTGTAAGCTGAAAATTACTCAAATCAAGAAACTGTACAGCCAAGGTACAGCTCTGTTAACAGTTGTAGATGGCTTTGCTGGAAGTGCACTTTAACAAAGTTACAGTATCATTTGTCAAAACAATTCAAGTATCATTCCACCTACATCAGTAACTGCCTAGAAAATAAAGCCCAGGCATTTGATGATACATACATGCACACATACATATAATTCAGTTATGCAGATATTTTCCACTCTTAACCAATTATTAATTTATATTTTACTTTCTTTAACTACTAGTATATATTTGTTATATGTGATCAACGCCGTTCCAGGTTCTTCTTTGATATTTCGGAAGAGTGAACATCTGGCATATATCTAGCATCAATAATTAGGGTGATACAATAACATTAAAATATTCCTAGATTAATTAAATAAACTATTCATTAGTTATGATCTTACCTACAGACTTAATTACATTTATTTGAGCAGAAAAATGACTTGGATGTCAATGAATGCAAAATACACTGGGCCCAAGGACAATTTCCCTCCACATATTCATCAAACTGCTATGCTTCCCTCTCCAGCATACATCCCAATATTGCCCTCTAAGTAATGTTTAATAGCAATTCTGTTCACAGGAATGTTGGTAGTGATGATCTTCAATAGTGGCATGTGCTTTGGGCTTGCTGACATGCCATACAGCACTGGAGGAAAATGATCAGTAGGCAGAAAGGAGCAGACCTTGGGCATGACCACATCCCATTATCCACAGGACTTTCTGCCACAGCCTCAGTATAATGTCTGGATGTAACCCAGTACATAACTTTGTGCTTTCTAACATATCATTTGAACTTCTTGTGACTGATAATGAGTCATGTGTTGCATGAATAAATTCAACATTAATATTTATGTTCAAGCAGCACATAATCAGTGCACACCAAGGATTACATTCTGAAATTACCTGCAATTCTAAGCATAGCTCAGCATTTACAAATATCAGATCATTACCTATATGTGACCAAGACCATACCAGAGAACTGTCAAACAAGTATGCTCCTGGGCATTACCACATACAGACATACAGCAGGGAACTAATATAACAGTGTAATTAAGGCAGTGAAAAGCCATCAGACTACAGAACTGCTTAGTGCATTGCATTCCATATCAGCTACACCTGTGCGTTACTTTAACATTCTATGTACAAACACTTCCACTGAACTTAGGAACACAGTTTGGTGCCACTTATTATTCACTTGTTTACTGATAGCTTAATATTGTTACACAACTGTACAAATTTTGAAACATATGAAATGTTATACCCTTATCAGTACGCATATTTTGTTATGTTACATTTCTACCTTTTTCCATGTTTATAATATTTCTGTAATTTTACTGTCACTATTTTCAAAAATATATTGCATAAAAATTCAGTCCACTGGGACTACTATGTCACAGGGTCTGAGAAAGCTGGGAAATGACAGAATAGTATTTCTAGCCTTGTGACAGAAATAACTGGGCGGACCTTACATGTCACATGACACTTCTGACAGTCACTGCATAATTTTTAATTATATGTATTAAATACAATTTTGAAATTTACAGTTTGTAAGGAATTAATGCTAATTCTTAAATCACATCAGTATTCCCTAATACCTTCGAAAGGTATTTCATGTTAATTTTTGTTATGAAATCACTTTTGCATTTTGAAGTTAAAGCCGTTTCCTTTATTTTTGAACTTGCACACTTTAAAAGCCTATAAGAAAGGGCCAAAGAAAAAAAACTGAGAAAGGAAAGAAGGGAGAAAGTAAATAAACAACGGTGAAGATAAAAAAGCAAGCCGAAAGTAAGGGCATGTACCTTTTCCAGTTATTTCTTAGCTCCATCTCATCTTAATCCTCTGAGAGAATAAAAAATAAATCATGAAAAGAATAGCAGGAAGGAGTACTTTATTCATACAGCAGAAAGAATTTAACACATAACAATGGGTGCCAACCAGAAGTAAAATGTACTGATGAGTTATAAAATATTGTTTTCATAACTACATGATAACCAAACTACATTCTAAATTAAAAATAAGACATAAGTCATTTATCACTTTACATTAAGAACTCGCTTAACAGCTCGGACAATGTCATGTGGTTGCGGCAGTGCAGCTAACTCTAAGCTCTTGGTGTATGGCATTGGTGCATCAACACCTGTCACACGTATCACAGGTGCATCCAAATGGTAGAATGCTTCACCTGTGAAGAAAATTAACTTGCTTAATGGCAGTTCTTTTTTCTCCTGAATACATTCAGTGATATTCTGAAAGGTGTACCAAGATATCACTCAATGCTTGCCTCACATATTTTAGGGCAAGGTATTCACACCTGCAAGGGAGAGTCAAAACATCTACTACAAACCTTATAAGCACCAGAAAAAAAACTTCCAGTTTTCACTGACATGGTAGCAAGTGCTGTGGCGGTTCCCCCACCTAAGTAGCTACATTGTACATTTAGCATCACATCATTGTCCTTAAAACTGACTTACTGGATTTCCAGAAGGCATTCTGAAATATCTTCAGTGTAAAAAATTATCTCTTATTACATGGATGCCATAAAGCAAAAAGTTGCTGAAAACAGATGGTACACCAGATACAAATGCTTACTTCTGAAATATACAATATGGCCAAAATACATGGTCTGACAATAAAGTTCGTGAACTCATCAGTAAAATTGCTACATGCCTCACTGCTGAATATTATTGGGGTCAACAGTGCCTAGTCCACCCTTCAAAACAATTTTGGAACTAGTTTTGTGGAATTTCCTTCAGAGCTGTCATCATATTACTCCTGATGTCATCAATGTCATCAAAATACCTTCCTTTCAATTTTCCTTTATCTTCAGGAACAGAAAAAAGTCATTGGGGGCTAGAGCCAGTGAATATGGAGCATGTTCCAGAACAGTTATTTGTTTAGTACCTAAAAGCTCGTCACAGACAGTTCTGTGTGAGCAGGTGCATCGTCATAATGCAAGATCCCTGAGTTGTTGCCAAAGTGTCTGGGTCATTTCCATCTAACTTTTTCATGCAGCCTTTTCAGGACTTCCAAATAGTATAAACTTGGTTGACTGTTTATCCAGTTGGTACAGACTCATAATGAACAATCACTCTAACCTCAAAAAAGTTAGCACCATTGTTTCGACTCTTTGATTTGGACAGACAGAATTGTTATGTCATGGAGAATTGGCAGTCTTCCATTGTGTACTTTGCTGCTTCGTTTCAGGGCCATATTGGTAGACCCATGTTTCATCAACCATGATGACATGGCCCAAAATGTCATCTTGCCTCTCCATAATGTCTTGGCAAATTTCAACTCTTCTTTGCCTTTCTTCTTTGGTGAGATCCTTTGGGACCATTTGTGCACACATCTTCAGTTAAGATTTTCCTAATGTCAATGTCTGCTTGCTCTGGTATGCTCCTGACAGTCAGATGATGAGTTTCACATACAATTTGAAGTTTGGGAACGATTTCTTCAATTCTGCTCGCTGCTGGCCATCCTGATCTCTCTTCATCAATGACACTTTCTCCTCCTTCAGAAAAACGTGTCACTCACTTGTAAACTGTTTTCTTCATAGCATTATCCCCGTAAACTTGCACTAACATCTCTCTGATTTCATTTCCACTCTTGCCAAGTTTAACAAGAAATTTCATGATCGTTCGTTGCTCTAATTCAAGTTCCAATATTCTCAGGACGGCACACCGAAACACACTCAGACAATAATAGATGCTAATCAGAAATGACTGCCATAGATCAACAACAACAGAGCTGTGAAATATTGATATGCCAATATCATTAAACCATACTGAGGTTTCTGTCCACTGCTGCCACAGCAAGCACACGGTGGCAAGTTCATGAACTTTATTGTCAGACCTCATATGATGAGGCAATTGAAATTACTCCCAGAAGATGGCATGTACAGTAAATCCAATCCACACAATAGGACTAAAATTTTGAATTGATTTACCTGATCAAGACAAGGGGAAAAAACTCTGATAAAATATACTGTACTCAATTATTGCAGTAAAAAGATTAGAACATTTTTTACCTCATTTTCTGCATGAATTATGAAGAAGGCTATAACTTATTTTAAAATTGCAGACTCAGATTTGGTAACTGATGATGCATGATGAAGGAACTAAAACCAAATGCAGGTCAATCAGCAGGATTACCAAGAACTAGGGTAATAATGATGTAATAATAGCAAAACTCAGCTGACACTGTGATAAACTGATAAAAAACCTACGTTAAATTAACATTTGGATGGCCTGGGTGCTAGAGAACTATTGTTGGTGGAACAAGTGCTGAAGATTTATTCCTTAGTATTGTATGTAAGCATCCTGTTGCATTGATGTATCACTCACTCTTTCACTTCTGCCTTTAATGGAACTTAAAAATGTTCACAATCTCTCCTTAATTTAAAATACCATAAAATGACACTCAATTGCTACATGTTTCAGACCTACTTGGCCATCTTCAGGTAAATGTTAATTTTTGAAACAGTCACACTGCACTAGATCTTAAGTCAATATATATGTCAATGCTACTGCATTATGGTTGTTCACACTAAAATACATTTGTTTGAGAACAAAATTCTTTCTTTGTTCCCATGCTATTCTCCACTTGCAGCATCCATGTTTCTGTTCTTTGTTGATGCACGTGCCTCAACTAAAGGAGAAGCAGCTCAACAACAAACACAGACTCTTAACAAAGTATATAAAGATGAAAAAACACTGCCCGTGCCTTTAAGGGAGGCAATCTTCACAATCTCCCGTTGATAGAAGAGGCACGAAGACACAAACCTTAGTGGTTTAAGATTTTAAACATTAAGAATTTTATTAATATTTTAACTTGCCACATTTTTGCTTAATTAAAATCTTTATATACAAAACTTTGGACAACTCTGAACTTGATGTACTATGATTTATGTAATAGTAGTTTCCTCAATGTGTTAAGTTATTTGCCTTCTGAAGATGGTAATTATTTGACTGAAACATCACACACACATATACAGGGTGTCCCAGGAGGAATGTGCCAAACTTCGGGAGGGTGTTCCTTATGTTAAAGTATGCCAATATAACCCAAAACAC